TTAAACGCACCAACATTTGAATTATAGGGGTCTCAGAGACGAAGAGAAAAAGCAAGGGACTGAGAAAATATTTGAAGAGATTACAGTTGAAAACTTCCCTAAAATGGGAAAGGAAATAATCAACCAAGTCCAGGAAGTGCAGAGAGTCTCATACAGGATAAATGCAAGAAGAAACATGCCAAGACACACATTAATCAAACTATCAAAAATTAAATACTAAGAAAAAAATTAAAAGCAGCAAGGGAAAAGAAACAAATAACATACAAGGGAATCCCCATAAAGTTAAGAGCTGATCTTTTAGCAGTAACTCTGCAAGCCAGAAGAGGGTGGCAGGGCATATTTAAAGTGATGAAAGGCAAAAACCCACAACCAACATTACTCTACCCAACAAGGATCTCATTCAGATTCGATGGAGAAATTAAAACCTTTACAGGCAGCAAAAGCTAAGAGAATTCAGCACCACCAAACCAGCTTTACAACAAATGCTAAAGGAACTTCTCTAGGCAGGAAACACAAGAGAAGGAAAAGACCTAGAATAACAAACCCAAAACAATTAAGAAAATGGTAATAGGAACATACATATCAATAATTACTTTAAATGCAAATGGATAAAATGCTCCAACTGAAAGACATAGACTGGCTGAATGGATACAAAAACAAGACCCTTATATATGCTGTCTACAAGAGACCCACTTCAGATCTAGGGACACATATAGACTGAAAGTGAGGGGATGGAAAAAGATATTCCATGCAAATGGAAATCAGAAGAAAGCTGGAGTAGCAATTCTCATATCAGACAAAATGACTTCAAAATAAAGACTATTACAAGAGACAAAGACAGACACTACATAATCATCAAGGGATCAATACAAGAAGAAGATATAACAATTGTCAATATTTATGCACCCAACATAGAAGCACCTCAATACATAAGGCAAATGTTAATAGCCATAAAAGGGGAAATTGACAGTAACACATTAATAGTAGGGGACTTTTAACACCCCACTTTCACCAATGGACTGATCAACCAAAATGAAAATAAATAAGGGAACACAGCTTTAAATGACACATTAAACAAGATGGACTTAATTAATATTTATACGACATTCCATCCAAAAACAACACAATACACTTTCTTCTCAAGTGCTGACGGAACATTCTCCAGGATAGACCATATCTTGGGTCACAAATCAAGCCTTGGTAAATTTAAGAAAATTGAAATCATATCAAGTATCTTCTCCAACCACAATACTTTGATACTAGATATCAATTACAGGAAAATAATCTGTAAAAAATGGAGGATAAACAATACTCTACTAAACAAGCAAGAGATCACTGAAGAAATCAAAGAGGAAATGAAAAAAATACCTAGAAACAAATGACAATGAAAACATGGTGACCCAAAACCTATGGGATGCAGCAAAACCAGTTCTAAGAAGGAAGTTTATAGCAATACAATCCTACCTCAAGAAACAAGAAACATCTCAAATAAACAACCTAACCTTACACCTAAAGCAATTAGAGAAAAAAAGAACAAAAAAACCTCAAAGTCAGCAGAAGGAAAGGAATCATAAAGATCAGATCAGAAATAAATGAAAAACAAATGAAGGAAATAAGAGCAAAGATCAATAAAACTAAAAGCTGGTGCTTTGAGAAGATAGACCTAATTGATAAACCATTAGCCCGACTCATCAAGAAAAAGGGGAGAATATTCAAATCAACAGAATTAAAATGGAAAAGGAGAAGTAACAACGGACACTGAAGAAATATAAAGGATCATGAGAGTACTACGAGCAACTATATGCCAATAAAATAGAAAACCTGGAAGAAATGGACAAATTCTTAGAAAAGCCCAACATTCTGAGACTGAACCAGGAAGAAACAGAAAATATAAACAGACCAATCACAAGCACTGAAACTGAGACTGTGATTAAAAATCCTCCAAGGGCTTCCCTGGTGGCGCAGTGGTTAAGAGTCCGCCTGCCGATGCAGGGGAAACAGGTTCGTGCCCCGGTCCGGGAAGATCCCATATGCCGTGGAGCAGCTGGGCCCGTGAGCCATGGCCGCTGAGCCTGCGTTTCCGGACCTGTGCTCCAAAACGGGAGAGGCCAAAAAAGTGAGAGGCCCACGAACCCCAAAAAAAAAAAAAAAAAAAAAAAAAAAATCTCCCAACCAAAAAAGCCTGGGACCAGATGGCTGCACAGGCAAATTCTATCAAACATTTAGAGAAGAGCTAACACCTATCCTTCTCAAATTCTTCCAAAATGTAGCAGAGGGAGGAACACTCCCAAACTCATTCTACGAGGCAACCATCACCCTGATGACAAAACCAGACAAAGATGTTACAAGAAAAGAAAACTACAGGCCAATATCACTGATGAACATAGATGCAGAAGTCCTCAACAAAATACTAGCAAACAAAATCCAACAGCACATTAAAAGGATCATACACCATGATTAAGTGAGGTTTATCCCAGGAATGCAAGGATTCTTCAATATATGGAAATCAATTCATGTGATACACCATATTAACAAATTGAAGGATAAAAACTATATGATAATCTCAATAGATGCAGGAAAAGCTTTCGACAAAATTCAACACCCATTTATGATAAAAACTCTCCAGAAAGTAGGCATAGAGGGAACCTACCTCAATATAATAAAGGCCATATATGACAAACGCACAGACAACATTGTTCTCAATGGTGAAAAACTGAAACCATTTCCTCTAAGATCAGGAACAAGACAAGATTGCCCACTCTCACCACTATTATTCAACATAGTTTTGGAAGTTTTAGACACAGCAATCAGAGAAGAAAAAGAAATTTAAAAATCTGAAAAGAAGAAGTAAAACTGTCACTGTTTGCACATGACATGATACTATACATAGAGAATCCTAAAGCTGCTACCAGAAAACTATGAGAGCTAATCAATGAATTTGGCAAAGTAGCAGGATACAAAATTAATGCACAGAAATCTCTTGCATTCCTATACATTAATGATGAAAAATCTGGAAGAGAAATTAAGAAAACACTCCCAGTTACCAGTGCAACAAAAATAATAAAATATCTAGGAATAAACCTACCTAAGGAGGTAAAAGACCTGTACTCAGAAAACTATAAGACACAGATGAAAGAATTAAAGATGATACAAACAGATGGAGAGATGTACCATGTTCTTAGATTGGAAGAATCAACATTGTGAAAATGACTCTACTACCCAAAGCAATCTACAGATTCAATGCAATCCCTATCAAACTACCAATGGCATTTTTCACAGAACAACAACAAAGAATTTAACAATTTGTATGGAAATACAAAAGGCCCAGAATAGCCAAAGCAATCTTGATAAAGAAAGGCAGAGCTGGCGGAATCAGGCTCCCTGACTTCAGACTATACTACAAAGCTACAGTAATCAAGACAGTATGGTACTGGCACAAAAACAGAAATATAGACCAATAGAACAGGATAGAAAGCCCAGAGATAAACCCACGCACATATGGTCACGTTATCTTTGATAAAGGGGGTAAGAATATATAATGGAGAAAGGACAGCCTCTTCAATAAGTGGTGCTGCAAAAACTGGACAGCTACATGTAAGGGATGAAATTAGCATACTTCCTAACACCATACACAAAAATAAACTCAAAATGGATTAAAAACCTAAATGTAAGGCCAGACACTATAAAACTCTTAGAGGAAAACATAGGAAGAACACTCTATGACATAAATCACAGCAAGGTCCTTTTTGACCCACCTCCCAGAGAAACGGAAATAAAAACAAAAAGAAATAAATGGGACCTAATGAAACTTAAAAGCTTTTGCACAGCAAAGGAAACCATAAACAAGACCAAAAGACAACTTTCAGAATGGGAGAAAATATTTGCAAACGAAGCAACTGACAAAGGATTAATCTCCGAAATATACAAGCAGCTCAATATCAAAAAAACAAATGATCCAATCCAAAAATGGGCAAAAGACCTAAATAGACATTTCTCCAAAGAAGATATACAGATTGCCAACAAACACATGAAAGAATGCTCAACGTCACTAATCATTAGAGAAATGCAAATCAAAACTATGAGGTATCACTTCACACCTCACACGCCTCCATCAAAAACGCTACAAACAATAAATGCTGGAGAGGGTGTGGAGAAAAGAGAACCCTCTTGCACTGTTGGTGGGATTGTACATTGATACAGCCACCATGGAGAACAGTATGGAGGTTCCTTGAGAAACTAAAAATAAAACTACCATATGACCCAGCAATCCCACTAATGGGCATATACCCGAGAAAACCATAATTCAAAAAGGGCCATGTACCACAGTGTTTATTGCAGCAGTATCTACAACAGCCAGGACATGGAACCAACCTAAGTGTCCATCAACAGATGAATGGATAAAGAAGATGTGGCACGTTTATACAATGGAATATTACTCAACCATAAAATGAAATGAAACTGAGTTATTTGTAGTGAGGTGGATGGACTTAAGAGTCTGTCATACAGAATGAAGTTAGTCAAAAAGAGAAAAACAAACACCATATGCTAACACATATACATGGAATCTGAAAAAAAAAAAAGGTTCTCATGAACCTAGGGGCAGGACAGGAATAAAGATGCAGACACAGAGAATCGACTTGTGGACATGGGGAAGGGGATGGGTAAGATGGGACGAATTGAGAGAGTAGGATTGACATATATACACTATCAAATGTAAAATAGATAGCTAGTGGGAAGCAGCTGTAATGCAGAGGGAGATCAGCTCAGTGCTTTGTGACCACCTAGAGGGGTGGGATAGGGAGGGTGGGAGGGAGACGCAAGAGGGAGGGGATATGGGGATATATGTATACATATAGCTGGTTCACTTTGTTATATAGCAGAAACTAACACAACATTCTAAAGCAATTATACTCCAATAAAGATGTTAAATAAAAAAATAATATAATAGCAATAATACTATAGCAAAATAAAATTCAGTAATATCATATGAACTATTTTACCTTTGCATTATAGGGAATGTAATGTTTTGATAAAGCCTCTGGCGTATGCATCCATGATTTGTCTGCAATGAAGAATACACAGTGTTAAATTAAATCACAGGTTCTAAGGGTGTCATATTCATGCATTTGAAAGGAGTCTGATATGGATGGGAGCACTTCTAATTTGGAGATAGTTTTGCTAAAATGAGAAATAATAACTAGTCAGATATATGAACAATGTAACCACAAAGTAATTATAGGATTCTTTCTTTAATATAAAAGTCTTTTCCTTTTAAAAGCTTTCTAATAATAAAACAATTTTGAATTTTTAAAGAATATTAAAAGAACATCAGTTGGGCTATGAGTAATTATATCAATTATGTGAATAATTATGTTTTATTTTTCTTATTTCATGTGATACTCTCATGAATAACAGGTTATTTTTCTTAATTCCCTTTTCAATAAATAGTAATCTGCTCTTTCTCATGACTGTTACTACTCCTTAGTATCAAGAATTAACTAGTAACAGGAAATTCTAACATTAAACTAACAACTGCATTTATATAAAGCTGAAATGAATCAATCTACTTAATTCATTTAAAAATTAATATAATATTAGGATAATTTTTTAACCTCAATTTAAAGAAACATTGATTGAGGGTCCACTATCAGGAGTTTTGGATATAAATGATCTTAAATGCAGTAATTTGAAATTATTACACTATTTAAATTAGTGTAATAGAATAATAGAAATAAAAGTAATTAAAAGAAGATTGTAAAGCAATTATACTCCAGTAAAGATGTTAAAAAAAATAGAAGATATCGAAAGTAATTTGTATTGTATATTATTGATAAAATAGAAAATAAAATTTTCATTCAATTTTTGAATTTGATTTATATATTCCACATATCTTCCAAAAATATTTTGTGGAACATATAAGCAGGAAAAAAGCAAAACATGCTAATGTTTACACAAATCTAATTTGCTGATTTTTTACAAACTGCATTTGTCTGTAGTAAAACTTCTCAATCTTCAAATATGTTATGTCTTAAGTGGAGTTTTGTGAATATTTTACTCCTAATGGGAATTTAAAAATTTAGAATCAATATTATAAATAGAATAAAATCAGACATATATTTTACCATGAAAAATATTAAATAAGTACACACTAAAAGAAAATATCAGATTACTAACAAAGCATTTTCAACATTCAATTCAGAACATTTAAAAATGATGTTAGAAAAAAAAAAAATGATGTTAGGGCTTCCCTGGTGGTGCAGTGGTTGAGAGTCCGCCTGCTGATGCAGGGGACACGGGTTCGTGTCCCGAACCCCCGGGGTTCGGGATCTGCCCCGGTCTGGGAAGATCCCACATGCCGCGGAGCGGCTGGGCCCGTGAGCCATGGCCGCTGGGCCTGCGCGTCCGGAGCCTGTGCTCCGCAATGGGAGAGGCCACAACAGTGAGAGGCCCGCATACCGCAAAAAAAAAAAAATGATGTTAACAGAAACTAGTTCAGTATAATTAATATGTTCTCAAACTGGAGGAATGTGAAGACATAGAGAAAATGGCAGATATTCCTGGAATTTTAATTATTTTAAACCATTCAAAGGATAATGCACTATATATTAAATATGTTGATGGGGTTCAATGCAATATTTACAAGGATTTCTAAGACGAAACATGAGGGATCAATAAAATCCTGTGCCCATGATGAATTTTAGGGCTATTTCTGATTACTGAAGTGGATATGTGACAGCCGTACTTGGGTGAAATATTTTGAGAAGCAATACATCCTAGGCTTCAAAAAGCGGTATTGACATACTGACATTGACAATAATGTATAACTCTTATTTCTTGTATGGATTTTCATTTTAACTACAGTTTTCTCTTTATGACTGCTACTGGATAGTGATATGATTAATTCAAGAATAATTTGTACTTAGATTTGGAATATAGTCTTGCTCTTGTATATTAAAATAAATTTATCACAATACTGTATGCCAAGATAATAAAAACACCAAAGATCTGCCTTCAGAAAACCCAGAAAAATATCTAGTTCCTTTTTTTTACCTCTTAACTCAATTCTTCTCATGTCTCCTTTTCCAAGACACAGAGCATAGCTCAGGAGGATGCAAAGTCTAACTAAAGTTTGAATCCGATGGTTCATTCCAATCCTGAAGCAGAGGGATAACTGCTTTCTCCTCTAAAACACTATTATTTGAAAACTCATGACACTGCCTTTGTTATAGTCTCGTATTGCAGTAACCTAGAAAGAGGTTAGGTATATCTAGCTGTTACTGGTGAAAGACTAAAATAATCACAATACTAAATTACCAGCGGATAAGCTGCAGTTACTACAATTACAAAAAATCTACATCCACACACCAAGTGCTGACGATTTAACGGTTGTTCATTACATACCTCTAGTATAGGTAATACACCTATTAAACCTGAAGGATTTCCAAAATGAGTCCTTAATGTCATTCTAATTTATACTTTGGCAAAAGAAAAAACTGACAGGACAAAACTATATGTTAACTCATATAGATGTGTCTGACCTTGAAGAAAGGGTACAGATGATGTCTTTTGGTCACTATATGGACCCACAAAAGATACTGGATACATAGAGTTGGTGATGAAACAGGAACACAGACACTCTAGAATGTGTTCCCTTTCTTGATATTAAACTATAATCACTGACTTAATAGTGAACATTCACATAAAAGGAAAGGCCAACATTTCAAAAATATTTGACAGCTGTCAAACCACTCTGACTACTGGGTCAATAAATCTAGGTATTCCAATGTATTTAGATTAAGAGTTCATCTAGAAAGATGCAGTAAACTTCATTATTCTTGTATCACCAGAGCTTAAAATAGTGAAAAAACCTACTTTGAACATATTAATTTAAAACTAAATATTGATGGATGAATGGATGCATTTGAATAAAATTTTCATGAAAAGGAAAATATTTTAAAACTATTGAAATTTAAGTGCTTTGCACTATGATTATTTCTACTTATCACTATATCAACTGATAAGTTAAAGAACATAAAGTGTAATTAGTTGAATAATCACGTTTATGCTTTTTTAACTAAACGATTACTTTTTGACATAATAAATAGAATATAAGATTTTAAAAGTTCAAAAAGAAAGCTAACATAGGGAAAGAAAGAAGCTATAAAACATTAATTAAAATTTAATCTATGAATCTGGGGTTAGATAATTTTTACAGAGCTTTTCAAAATAGTCCAAAATGATGCAATTCTAGTACATTCAGTTTTTTTCAGACCCTATGAGCAACTCTAATAACCATTAAAGCATTTGCAAAGAAAATCAGTGAAGTGCCTGGACAATTCAATCAAAGAATACCAAATTACTAATTGGGAGATTTAATAAAAAGAGAAAAAAAAACAATTATGTTTAGGTTTAAGATAATCTCTTTTCCTTGGGTTTCTGATTCAGTAAGGTTGCATGTAATAACCAAGTAAATTGGATATCTATGAAATAAGAGATAAGTTTTTAAAGATAAAAGACGATCTTGTTTTGTTTAGAGTACAGTACAGTGTATGTTGATGCTAGTTATTGGAAAGATGACTTGAATTATATATTCTCTAGGGCTATAATTACAGTTCCTGATGGTCAAGTATATGAATTCTCTGATAAAATTCCAGTTTTACATCTCAAATTAAATTCAACAAATAGTGCTACTGGTTGAAACTAGGAGCACAGGCTCCAAGAAGTTTTCTTTTTACAACTGTAATAAATGAGAGAGTGTGAAGTGACTGGTGAACTTAAGGTAGAACTTCCCGGCATCAGGTTCTAAATGAACTGGAGTGAAATACTGATCAAAAATTTTCTGATATGTAATCACTGGACTTGAAAAATAAGAGAAGTCAAAAGAAATTTAAAGAGAATGCAGCAAAGCAGGAAATAACAAGTTTCTGCTTCTTGATTCTCTAGATCACTCTGATTTTCCTCATGGTTGTACTCCCACTGTCTTCAAGTGAGCCAAATATACAATCGCCAGTTACTCATCTTACTATCCAACACTTGGGATTTCTCTGTGAAAAACCACTCCAAATCCCCTTCAAATAAAGAGTAAATTAGAAATGTGAAGTTTCAATTTTAAAACCATGGGAAAGGGAATTCTAAGCAAATAAAAAGAAGCGAAGATATTGAAATGTCTTTAAAAAACAAGATAGTGTGTTTAAAGTGATGAGTTGTGATGTAAGGTTTTTATTGTCTTAGTAAAAATACTTCTATATATCAGAGAATTATTTCTAGATTTTTTACTAGTAAAGGGAATAAAAAGAAGGATGATTTTATTTTTTGGTATATGTTTTAAATCAGAAGCAAGCTACAGACCACAATAAATGTCATTTTGCCTTCCTCTTATTCTGAAAAATAAGTAAAATAATAAATTCCTGGTTTCCCAGGGTTGAAAGGTGCCTGAAAGTTCTTCACATTACCTAAATCCCTACTGAATACATTAATCCTCTGTACCACATCCAAATGTTCGAACACCTCTCATTTCAGTAAAAAATAAAGGTAATACTTTGAATAATTCCGTTATACTTTGGCACAACTTTGTTGGAATTTTTTTCCTACATTTAATCAATGACCTTATAATTTACACCCATTTGTCCTTTATTAAAGTTAGTTCCATGAACAAATGACAGCATTCAAACATTCATAGGTCTTCAAAAATTGCAAGACCACACCAAGGGTTCTCAGCCATGCTTCCTGTTGCATGGTTGAAAGTCCTGAAGTCATCTCAGCCTTTATCAACCAGGCATGTTACAGTGTGTCAATTCATCCTTAAAAGCAAGAACACACTGTGACTGAGGGCATGGAGTAGAACAATTAATCTATTTCCTGGTTCAAGACTGTTCATTATTCATCCATTAGAAAATGAACTGGAACCTTTGATAACCACACTGATGACTTTATTCTCCAGCCATGTTTTACCCACACAGCAATTAAGGTGCATCTTCCAAATAATAACCATATATAAATAAGTATAGAAGTGTTAGAGGTTCTGGACCCATGTTTGGCAATTTACAATATCTTATTAAGTTTACAGTGTGGAATATGACCTAACTAGTCATTTCCCCCCCATATGCCTGTAATCCTACCACATCAGTTATCTCTTCCTACTTTCAATCACCTAAGAACTTGAGTGGCATCATTTAAGTATTCTCTCCCAGGTCATTGACAGCATGTTAAACAGGAGACAGCCCTGTGCCCACCACTAGAGAACTCCTTCTAGAATGGCAAGGATACATTATTTTAACTTTACTGAACTATATAAAACTATCAAATTTTTCTATCTTTCCTATGAGTGTATCAAGAAATATTTTGCCAAATGCCATGTTTTCCTGCCCCTTAAAAAAATTTCTGTACTGATAATTACGATATATTTATACTTATTTTAAATTCCTACTTTAAAATTAATAACAAATTTATTTGGCCTCTTGCTATCAATTCACCCATCATGAATCCTTATTCATTATTCAATAAAAAGTGAAGTTCATGCACACACACACACACACACACACACGAGTGAATTTAAAACACTATAGCCCATGTAAGCTCAGGGAATTTAGTACTATGGCTATGAAAAGTGAAGTTAGGACTAACTTCCTGTCAGATCACTTTATTTTTTGCAACTCTAACTTCATTCTAGAGTCACATGGTTTGATAATCAGAAAAAGTGATTTCTTAACATCTCTGCTGGATTTGAACAGTAATATTGAAATGACTGCCAGGTCTTTAGTGGACACACTTACCTTTCTTCCTGCTAAAAGCACGGTTCATGATGAGGATCAACCAAATAGATGTTCAGTTCAATCACACTTTATATCCTATAAAATTAAGAAAATAGTAAAGCATAAATAAAGGAATGTTGATCAACCTCTTTTATGTAAATTATTTTAATCACAAAGTCTTTTAAAATTTTCTAGATGTTTAAAAGCAATATTTCAAAATATCCTGAAGGACAATGGGTAAGAATAAACGTAACACTCAATATTATGAGTGGCACAGCAGATAAGAACAATATATCAAATGAAATTCCTCCAAAGTTCCTTAACTTTTGTCTTTTATCCTATTATACGTCTTTCACTAATTATATTTACCTTCAAATTTAAGAATAAAGAAGGTTAACTTTTCCCTGAGCTTGTTGGCAAGAAGTGTGGTAATGTTTTGGGTTATCATTAACAGCAGTGGTGGATAAACAGAAGTCTTCTGATATAAATGGGGGTCATGCCCCCCACCCCCAATCAGGCTATGCTTGGCAGCCCTGTGTCCCATGATGCTCCAGACAGCTGCTGCCTATCTGTTGAAACCAAGGCAATGGCATGCCTCCCATTCCCCACCCCTGAAGCCAAGGAGGGAGCCTTGATGATCTCCGAGTCACATTCAGGATCATTCATTCCTAGTCTTGAAGAATAGTGCACATTCACAGCCAAATAGCTGTATGGTCCTTTCCTGTGGGATCTAAGAAATCCAAAAGCTGTTCTTCATTTCATCCCATCTCCCTCTTCTTCAGTTGAAACTGGCAATGTTTTGCTAGAGTAGCTGATTAGGTCTGCAATTCACATAGATACTAATCTCATCAAAGGGCTATTTGGCCATACCTTTGGTGTTCTCTGCTATATGGATTGGCTGAGAATTTTCCAAATCTTTTAAGTACTGATTACTTTCTGCTTAACAAATTCATTTCCTTCTCACATTTTACTATAATCAATTAGAAGGAACCAAGCCCCTCCTTCAACACTTTGCTTAGAAATCCCCTCAGCTAACATCCAATTTTATAGATTGCAAGTTTTACCCTCCACAAAACACTAGAACACAAATACAAGTTGGCCAAGTTTTTTGCCACTTTATTACAATGATCACCTTTTCACCGTTGTTCAAAAAACATGTTCCACTTTTCCGAGACCTTATCAGAATGGCCTTTACCATTCAGATTTCTACAACATTCTGTTCATGATTATCTATGTATTCTCTAAGAAGATGGAAACTTCCTCTCCAGCTCTCCTCTCACCAGAATCATCTTTAGTAATACCTTCAAAATACTCTTGGTTTCTTCTAGCATGCACTTTAAAACTCTTCTAGCTTCCCCCCATTACCCAATTCCAAACCTGTTTCTACATTTTTTGGTGTTTGTTACAGCAGCACCCTGCTTCTCAGTAACAATTTTTATTTTGGTTTGCTCAGACTGCCATAACAAGATACCATCAACTGGGTGGCTTAAACAACAGAAATTTATTCCTCACAGTTCTAGAGGCTGGAAGTTTGAGAGTCATACTTTAGGGTGCCAGCATGGTAGGGTTCTAATGAGGACCTTCTTCCTGGCTTGTAAACAGCCACCTTCTGGCTGTCTCCTCACATGGCAGAAAAGAGAGAGGGCACTCTTATCTCTTCTTGTTCTCATGAGGACACTAATCCCATCACTGGGGCCCCACCTTTGTGACCTCATCTAAACCTAATTAGCTCCTAAAGGCTCTATCTCCAAATACCAGCACTCTGGGGGAGAGGGCTTCAACATATGAATTTGCAAGGGACACAAACATTCAGTCCGTACACTCTCCATAAATCTACATAGCAATTGAAGCACAGCAGAGAAATTAATCTTTATCATAAAGTTGTTATTGCAGTGACATTACTGCTATCTCTGTCCTTGCACTTCTACTCCCAAGAAAAATTAAAATAGTTAACTGAATTATAAAATATTACTAGGTACTGTTTAGTAGACTTAGATAATGACACAATAATATCAATCTGTTATTCACCCCCTACTTTACTCATCTTCTCATGATATATGCTATTAATACAAGATAGGTAGAGAATACATTTTAAGAATTAGAATGCCAAGATAATTATTCCATGTATATTAACAATATAACATGGTTTATTTTCTATGGTATGAAAGATATTACTATTATATATATATATATGTAACAATTAAAATGACTTCATTTTCTACAATTAATTTATTCATTCACTCAGAAATAATTTATTGATCTCCAGTTCCAGGCACTCTGCAAGATGAAAAGAAATACAATAAGGACAAAATATATTCTGTATTCTCCCAAGAGTTACTCTTCACCTAGAACATAACAGACATGATTATTAATTGATCATATCCTCAAGGAATAAGTGAAGATCAAAAACTAGCAGAAAAGGAATATAATGTATCCAAATGTAAGATTCAATTTCTCTGGAAGAATAAAGAGACCAATACCATGGTGTCTATTAATCAGCAGATCAAATTCAGTATGCCTCTTCACTACCCAAATCTCATCACTTTTAGGTAGACATTTTCAACAATAGCAGACCATAAAATATAAAGGCATTTAATACTATATAATTTTAAAATCCATGAAATTAAATAATATTGTGCTTTTTAAATAAAGAACAATATAATATAAACTCTTTGGGGACATATAGACAGAAAGTAATAAACCTTAGAATAATTGTATAAAGTTCAGTAGGCCAAATAAGAAGAGTATAAAATAACAGTACAATTCTATGACTCTAAAACACCAGAAGGATTGTTGCCTGCTCACAAAACATGTAGATATAAATGTCAATGAATATCAGATAAGCCATTCTTGTAATGTAACTAAAAAACAATAATTTCACTTTCCAAACACCATTCTTTAGCCTATTTATTTGATCCTATGGCACTCTACACTTCTTTGTAAAACAGATCTTACTTCCCCTCTCTATGCCCATGTATATAGTACAGTGCATGGCACTAAGTCGGCATTCAATATACTTACACCTATTTAATGTATAACAATACATGTTTTGGGCTTCCCTGGTGGTGCAGTGGTTAAGAATCCACCTGCCAATGCAGGGGACAAGGGTTCAAGCCCTGGTCCGGGAAGTTCCCACATGCCGGGGAGCAATGAAGCCTGTGCGCCACAACTACTAAGCCTGCGCTCTAGAGCCCGCGAGCCACAACTACGGATGACTGCGTGCCTAGAGCCCGTGCTCCACAACGAGAGAAGCCAACGCAATGAGAAGCCCACGCACCACAATGAAGAGTAACCCCCGCTCTCCGCAACTAGAGAAAGCACGAACGCAGAAAGGAAGACCCAATGCAGCCAAAAATAAATAAAATAAATAAATAAATTTAAAAACAACAACAAAAATACATGTTTTAATGCACTCTACAGTTGACATAATAAGATATACGTCATCATCAACTTAACACATTAATAAGTTAAGAAATATAAGTTCTATATAAACCGATTTTACTTCCATTTACAATATAATATAAATCTTTCTGTTTGGATAAACTTTTCGTAAAGATTGTTTTGGTGACTATATACACATGGATGCATCATTGCCCTATCATTAAACAACTATTATTTCTAAATTTTAGCTAAATATATACAAAGGGAATAATTTACATAAAAATTAACTTTTATTCATTTTTCCCATAAAATAGCATCCCAGAGTAAAAATCACTAGGTATAAAGTATTACTATTTAGGTTTTCTTTTTTTTTTTTTTTTTAACTAAACATAAAGGGGTTGTAACAATTTACATGGCCATCAGTTATATGACAACACTCATTCAACTTCACATTCCCCGGGATTGACTATTGAATATTGTGTGTCTCTGTGTGTATTTGCATGTGCTATACTTTTTATAATCCTGTTTTTAAAATATAAAACTCTTTAAGATTAACAGTGCTATATGGTATGAAAACATACACTGATATCCCAATGAAAAAGAACCACTATCATTCAATAAATAATCCAAACCTTCCTCAGAAATTTATGTTGACACCTTTCCATATATTAAATTCAGCTATGTAGATTTATTTAGACACTTTTGCTTCTGGCCAAGACAGAGTAACAGAAGCTATATTTCTCTTACCATCTGAAACACCTAAAAAATGAAACAAGAGGTATGAAACAATGACTGTTAAGACATTAGACATCAGGCAACAAAGGACAGTGATCCATGAGAGATGAAAAACAAATAAGGTAAGCCCTATGACTTCCCTGGCTTAATGCATGGAGAAGGTTTCCAGACTATGGTCCAGGGAGGTGCAACTCAGTTGAACCCCAGCAATCTCCCTGAGTTTTGGAGATATTGCTGAGAATGTGGTGAAATGAAGATGCCTATTTTGCAGTCAAGAGCACTGGAGAGGAAAGAACTCTACCGAAAGCACTAAAGATACCTGCAAAAAATCCTTCTTACAATCGAGCTGAGTAATGATAATGACCCAAGACTGAGGAAAGAGCCACCCACAAAATTTAGAGAGAACAGTGCCTGTAGCTCACACAAGAACCAACAGCCAGGAAGGAAAATTTTGAATTCACAGAACTTCAGTTTGATTACTAAGAAGAGTCTCATCTTATCAGTGGGGAAAAATTAAGGCTAGAATAAATGCTGCTTTGGCCTCACCTGACAAATCTTTAAAAACAAGACCCAAAAGAATCAAACTATTTCCAAGTAACTTCTCTATATCCCAAATTATGCTCAAAAGGATTTTAAGGTTAATTAGCACCCAACATGGTAAAATTCACAATACTTGGTATGCAATAAAATGTGTGTGTGGGGGGGGGTGGCCATATATATATATATATATATATATATATATATCTCACATGCAAAGAAGCAGAAAAATACAATCCACAATGGGAAGAAAAATTAATCAAGACTGATCTACAAATGACCTGGATGATGGTAGTGGTAGGCAAGGACATTTAGATATGTTCCATATGCTTAAGAAGCTAGGAGATAGATTAAATAGATACAAAAAAACACCCAAATAGAACTTCTAGAAATGAAAACCACACTGTATAAAGTAAAAAATATACTATATGAGATTAATGGCA